AACCAGGGCTGGATTAAGAGGAGGACTAGCCGGGCAGCTGCCCAGAGCGCCAGCCTTTGAGCTGCCATCAGGTGCCACGCACCCAGGACCAGGGGCCGCGTGGCGCCCCTTAGAGCTCCCATCAGGTGCCGCGTGCCCGATTGCAGCTGTAAGGTGTGTAGCATGCTGGGGGGTGGGGCCGCGCATGCCCCGTGCGCCCGGGGGCAGAGCCGTGCATTCGTTGCGTGCCTGCTGCCCAGGCGCAGGAATGGCTTGAACTGGCCCTGCGCTCAACAAGGGTTTCTTGTGCAAAAAGAGCCTATCGGAAAAAGCACAGGTGTTCTGATGGCCATTCTGTTAGTGGCAATCAGAGCTTTCTTGCACAAGAGTGTCCATGCAGTGTGGATGCTCTCTTGTGCAAAAGTGCATCACTTTTGCAATGCGCTTTTGTAGTGTGGATGCGCTTTTGCACAAGAGAGCCTGCAGTGTAGATGTAGCCTCAGAGACAGGATACTGGGCTAGATGAACCATTTGTCTGCCCCAGTATGACCATTCTTCTTACTTAAATAACAGTTTATCTGTGAGTCTGTATCTGATCTTACACCAGTAACACTCCCTAGAAAGTTCACTGAAATCTATAAAATGATACTAGTATGAAATCAGATCAGAGTCAGGCTCTGTGCCTTAACTACAATGGGGATAATTATACGTTCCACACATGACTGTAGTAACATCCAATTAGTGTATGTAAAGTTTGCTATACAAGTATAGCATCACTATCACTGGAATGTAATTATTACAATCTTTCATTCACTCCACATGTTCTGATGTGGATATATATAATTAGCCACTGGTTTGAAAACTCAAAGAGACAGAGTAAAAAGATTGTTTTTCTTTAAAAAAGAAAAGACAGTTGAAAGTAAAGGCTTGTTTGGATTTCTTTTGTTGTATATGCTTTCTATGCATTTTTTTCCTGTCACTGGTAGAAACTACTTCAGTTTCTTTTGTGACTAAAGGACAGACACATATTCTATTTTCTGGTTCAGGTACAAAACGTTATTTATTTATTTTTGTAAAAAGCTTTACATTATGTTATTTGTAAAGGACTTTTAATGTTCAGATACATGAGAGATGCAGTCTCTCAGATTTAATCTGATACAGTCTGGTGGCAAGGAAACACAAAGCAATGAAAAGCTGTAAAAAGAAACAATACATCACAAATTCAGAACATGTTGTTCAAGATACTTGTGAATTGCCAAAGCTCTTCTAATTGATTCAGGTAAATGTCACAGAATCCTTGAGCAATCGATATAGTTTATAAATTTAATTCAAGGTTTATCCTTCATCTTTTTTATTAAAATATCGTGAACTATGACAGTGTATCTGTTAAAAGGAATATTTTTCTAATTAGTTTTCTAAAGCATATGCTATTACTATGCTGTCATATTTGTTGCTATGAAGGTTTAGTTTTGTGAATATTTGCCAGAAACCAATTGGATATAGTAAGGATGTGTAGTGTTTCTTTAAAACTCCAGCAGAAAGACAGTGAAAAAGGGTTGGCAGTAAAAAGATCTACAGGGTAGGAAAAAGGGTTCTAGGTAAGAGATCTACAGAAACAAAAAGAACATTAAGTGGATGCAATTTAAAAAAAGGAATTTTCAGATTTGTTACAGCTTATGTCCTATCTATCTGTAAAATAAGTGTTGCAGCTAGCACTGCTTTATGAACTAGTAAAAATGCAAGCCATCTACTGAGAAAATGAGAAATAGTCCAAGAATTAGCAAACAATTTCAGTGAGGAAAAGAACAGCATCATTTAAAGGTTAGTCTGAAGACCATAATATTCTCTGGACAGAAACACAGAAGTATGAAAAGGGAGAATATAGGGTGTCCAGCTGGTGGAAATATATAGTAAATATAAACACTAACAAATCAGGAGAATAATCCATAAAAGGATGAATTATGCTTATTTCAGCAGCCTTCAACAGCGTCACTCAGTATATATGGCCTCAGTTCTTTTCCTCAAAGATAAAATCTTTAAAAGATTAACCTGTCTTATATTCATACCTTTTGCTAGACACTATAGACTATGGAATGAATAGAGACAATGGCTATGCTGTCCACCCCAATCGAAGAGGAGTGTAAACATAACCACTGGATTTATGGGGTTATTACAATAATCTATAACCCATTAACTCTCATCCCTAGCTTTTTTTTAATCCTCTCCTCTCACCATAACTGGTGAAGTATTACCAGACCATTTTCACCTGGAATGATCCCTTGATATGCATTGACAACTTATGCTAAATCAACTATTCCACTCTGTATTTAGCTGTGACAGTCTTTGGCCTTATAAAAATCCACATCCCTAAGCATCACAGATACATAGATCTAACCCCCAGTATTGCTAGTACAAGGTTGACAGGAAAATTCTCTTGCTAACCTACCACCACTCAAAGAACAGGTTTGAGGACCTATGCTGACAGCAGAACCCTTCCCATTAGCACAGGCAAAGACTTCATGAAAGTGATACAGTGGTGCAGCTACATTTGTACAACTGTGTCGCTACAGTGCTTTAAGTATAAAGAAGCCCTTAGTACCTTTTCCAGATGTGAAAAAGAGCTCTGTGCATACTCAAAAGCATGTCTCTTTCACCAATGGAAGCTGGTACAAGATAAGATATTACCTCACACATCTTGTCTTTCTAATCCCAAGATTTGTTGCTCAAATCTTACATGTAATGTAATAGGGTAGATACCACTGCAACATGTAAAGGGATGTTTAAAATTACAATCTCAACCCTAAATTGGAATATTCCAAGGTAGTGTTCAGGTTAAATTAGAGAGATTATATATGCTTTGCCCTAAGGGTACATCTGTACCATAAATTAAGCTGTAATTTTAACAGGAGCCCTAGCTTTCATCTAGGTAGCAGAGAGGATGAGGCAAAATTGACACCATCTACTTTTTTCTTGGGGACAGGTTTCAGAGGGCTAGGAGGGATAGCCATGTTGGTCTGTTTCAGTAAAAATGAAATGATGAAGAGTCCTGTGGCACCTTAAAGACTAACACATTTATTAGGCATAATCTTTCATAGGTTGGAGCCCACTTCATCAGATGCATGAAATGGAAACTTCAGTCTGGCAGGAACATATACATATGCAAAGATGGGAATGTTATATTATACAATACTTTATTTTCCTGTTGAACCAGTCCCACTTTGTATAAAATATGTTGAGAGTCATAAAGCCAAAGAGGGTAAGAAAAAAAGTCTATAGTCTTACAGCGGGGGCACTCAGATACAAAGGAGGACAACCAGGTTCCAAACCATGCTCCAGTGACTAGTTAGTTATACAAAGTTGAGCACGGAAGAGAGTCAGTTGTGAGATACTGAGCATTCTCCATTGCTCAACTCCTTACAGGTTGATTACAATAAAACAAACAACACTATTTCTTTTACTTTTTTGGCAAAGTAATTTTAATTTCAACCTTTGTTGAAACTATTCTGTCTACTAATTTATAAGATGATCAAGTTGCTGAACCCATGACTATTATGAACAGTTTGATATTTGGGGGATTTTATGTACATTGATCAAGGTGAGAAGACACTTCTTAATTTAATTTAGTTTTCTTTAATATATTTGCATTCCTTCTTATCAGGTACATTTATTTGAAAACAAAGATTCCTAAACTTTGGAAACACTGTTTTCCTCTCATCTCCAAGGAGCAATAATATTACCCTAGCCTGTTATTCTAATGCAGGTTTAAACAAGTACCCAGTATAACAGCAGTTGATTTTTTAAATTTCTATTATTCTTGATGCCTCTCCCTGAATCTTGCTTATTTTTTGTTCTATTTTCTCAACACTATATCCATACACTTTATTAATTATTTTAAGTCATCTTCCTACAGTAAAATCTAAATCTCTTTCCTGGTCATTGTGCTGAATGTATGTTCATTTTAACATGCACTGTTGATTTTGATTAGCTTCTAGACTCATTTACCTTTTCTACATTAATTGCACTTTCTGTTTTATTCATATATACACACAAACATAGTGCACACACATAACAATGTGGCTATGTTCCATAATTAATTTCATTCAAACTAATGAAATCAACATTACTGATCTATTCAGTGTTTTAAACATGCCACCCTTTATCATCACTTTCTGCTATAAGTTTATCTCTATATCTCTAATGCCACAGAGAAATCCCACACACAAAAAATGCAGAGCATATCAAAGATGGAAAGACCATCACAGCAAATACTAGTGTATTATTCCTAGAAGTACAATACAGTAGATATAATTTTGAATGATAAATACAAAAGTGTACTACTGGCACATAGTAGAGGGATACAATACAGATGAATGTTTTTCATATAACTAACCACACATATCGAGAGAGAATTCTAAGGATAAATATTTAATATGGAGAATTCCTTTTTGTCTTTTCCTGTATTTCTTAAAATAATTATTTAAATGAGGTCCATATCTAGGACATAGTCTCCCCTGCTACCATTAAGTTCTACTAAATTTGAATGCTATGGATATCTTCTACTTAGGCAGTTATAAATATGACAATTTTTTAAAATAAGAAAAAAATTGCACACACAAAAATTTCTGCCTCCTCACTGTTTTGAACAGCAGAGAATCAAATACATGTCCTTTTTACTATCCTTCCTTGAATGCCTGAGAGGGGGTAGAATTTCCTAAGAAAATAACTGAGAAAAAGCAACCCTGACTTCAAATCTGTGTATTCTCATTATATATCTAGACTATAATTTACTTTTATAAACTTCAAACCTGAAGTTAACTTTGAGTAACTGTCACTCTTAAACCATTATACCCATCCGAAAGATTCCTGCCCAGATATACTATGAATTAATTTATGTTTATGGAATAATTCTGGAACAATACAGATTAAAATATAAAAACTTCCAATACAAAAGTAAAACATATTCCAGGGACAAAAAGTTAACCCTACATTTAATCTCTTCTGTCAATGTGCACAATTCTTACCATGTATGTGCTACAGTGAAACGCCGCTGTTTTGGTATGTTGCTATTCAAAAGCATCCTGCGTAAGAGCCTCGGAGAATTTCTAGGAGAAATAACTGGAGATAATCTGGGTGACATAGATGAAGACTTCCTGGATGTCTTGGACTTTTCATGCTGCAACAGGTTTTCCCTCAGAGTCTTTACAAGATCCTCGTTCAGCCATGGATTTTGACACTGTGGATTATCGACTTCAGGTACAGTCAAGGTGTCTGGGCTTGTTGCCTGCTGAGCCATATTGTAGCTTTAGTAATAGAGCAATGTGATATTTGTTTTGGTTGTTTAAAATATTTCCTTGTTAATTCGGTTCCAGAGAACCATGCAGAGCTTTTACTCCAACTCACTCTGTTTTCAACATGGTGTTGCCTGCCCTCAGCGTCTTTTTATAGATAATTATCTGGAAAGAAAAAAAGCAACTAACTCCTCCACAGGAACCTATTAAATATTACCACTCCTCTAACAATTCCATTGCCAAAGATCACTTACTAGCTATCACTGCAATGAACATGGAGGGAAAAAAACTGTGCTGGCACAGCTTTTTGTTAGAGCTACAAAGCTGCCTGTTAAACTATTGGAACTAACACGTTGCAGCTGCTTGAGTGGCTTCTGGCTATGTACATAAAAAGTGCTAGGGGGAGGGCTTAAATATCAGATGTTTGTCTGTATTGTTTATTATTCTTTCCATTTGCTTATTCCTGAATCTTGGGATAGGCTAAAAGGAGAGGTGGGGGAAATGCTGTCTGCTGAACTCCCCTCCTCCCCTCCCCCCCCCCCCCCCCCCCCACACATAGAAAATTGCAAAACAGTTTTAATGTAACAAACAAGCACAGGATAAAATAAATTTTAAAAAGGTCCACTGATCTTCTACATCACAACTGCTCTCCTAAACAAGACCTCATGAAAGAATAGTATTTTCATCTTCTTCAATAATATAAAACAATGTGAACTTGCTTTGTCCTACATACAAAACAAAAAAAAATACAGACTATGATGGCCACAAGGACCTGTTTAATAATGTGTTCTTAAATTAATAAGTCAACATATTTTCCTATCATCTCCACAACTACTTAATTTGCAAGATATTTCCTATTCCTTTGCACAGTTAGTGAGTTTTTAGAAATGAATTCTTAATATATGATTAAAAAGTGGTCATTATTTATTCCTTTCCAGTAATACTGCTATTGAATTTCATTCTGAAGATCAACTTTCCTTTTGGGAATTATAGCAGGCACTGCATTGATGCATTTTCCTTCTAATCTAGCAAATCCTACATCAGTCAGTCCTGAGGGTAATTTTTTTTTCCAAACTACATTCCATCCTTTCTCTCTGAATAGCTAAAATGCCCTTTATAAATAACATTCGCTTTTTCTGAGACCGACATGACCCACTGCAGACAAAGCCAGAAGTGGAATCAGAATCCTTAGACATTTAAATTTGATACATGTCCTACTTTCGCATCACAGAAATAAACACCCCTTTCTTTTAAGATGAACAATCCCTGGGTGCTAGAATGTCACCAAGAAACAATTGCTGAGTGAGAGTAAGTGTTCTATGCATATTATATCAGTGTAATATATTTCTCCCATTAAGATACATTACCTTGCATTAAAGCATTTAATTGTAAAGGTCCCCTGGCAAAGAGACTCATCAACTGGTGAGCCACCTTGTGGCTAGGTGCAGCATTATGGGATTTCATAATCAGTAGTCTTGCTGCCCACATCTACTAAAATGCTTGATGACTCACCCTCTCAGCCAGGTCCCTCTGACTTGGCCCTCCAGCTACACCAGGGTTTCTCAACCTATGGGTCAGGACCCAAATATGGGTCGCCATTAAATTTCAAAAGGGTAACCAAGTGTCTCCCCAGGTGGCTCTGCCTCCTCTTCTCCCCCTGTTTTTTAATTGCCTTGAGTCACCAAGTCTTCCTGAATTGTCAAAATGGGTCCCCATCTAGAAAAGGTTGGGAACTGCTGAGCTAGACAGTCCTTCATCTCACCTCTTCCAGGGTAAACCAGGTTTCCACCCAATTGTCCCAGGCCCTCATACCAGGTTGATGATCCTGGTCAAGGTCCAACAATCCTTCTGTCCCCTTCTGATTTGGGCCTCCCAGCTAGTCCTCAAACTGAGGTGATGGAGAGAGAATCAATACTTCCTTCTACCCTGGGATCCAGCCCTGGGATCCTTGTAGCAACAGGTAGCCTTTTCACATCTCTTGCTCCTCCTTCGGATCTACTTCCTATCATGGGTCCAATTTCTCAGTGCAGGGATATTATAGTCTCAGTAGAAGTCTGCCTCAGGGTTCAAATCCTAAAGTAATTCCTCAAGGTACCAGAGGAAAGGGAAATAATTAAAGAATAAAAACTTCTCTGTCCTACCTGGATCCTCCAGCTGACCAAGTTCAGGCAAGCTAAGGTAGCTTATCTTTGTCATGATCTTCTCCAAGTTGAGTCTTTCTGAAATGAGTTTCTCCCTTTTTTTAAAGTTCATCCTCTCCTAAGATTGGTATATGTCCCAGTTTCAGTGGGCTGGAACTACCTCATCCCAAAGCTGCTCTGTAGCCTCTTCTTGAATTGTATGAGGGTTGTTTACCCCACCACACATGGTCACTATGCTTTCAACATGGCATTAAAGCTTGTTCAATGGCTAAGTAGTAGTGAGTGCTCTGCTATTTAAGAGAGACAGATTCTCTTCTCTGTCCTAGTTTCTAGGTGGCACAAGAAATCCTGCAAAGGCAACACAGAGTTGCAAAAGAGACTTAGCACTCATCAGCAAAGATTTCTAGACTCCTCTTCTGGAAGCATAAAGGCTTCAGCATAGCTCCTAAAAAGGTGTGAGAGAAGAGTAAAAATTATGAAAACAGGCTCTATCTAGGATAATAAGAATCTCTCCCCTCAACCTCCTCTTAATTTTTCATAAACAGCTAATGAATATTCTCCTTATACCTGATCATTTTTCCAAACAACCTAGTTTATATTTTGAAATCCAGGTGCTCTTATGCTATGAAAAACTGTACTCTTATTCTCATACTAAAACATTTTTAAGAAAGCAGCAATGTCCTCATAGAAATGGATGGAATGACACATCTGGGGCCAGATCTTGCACCACTGAAGTTAACAGGGCTGTTGTCATTGATTCAATGAACAAAGGATCATATTTCAGTTGGTATGATCTTTCAGAAATAATCTGGTTTACATGCAGGTAGCTTTATTTCTATTATTTGAAATAATGCTCTTAGTAGTGGTTGCTACATTGGCTAATTTTATCTTAATACACTGTATAATGAGCACATTGTGAGCTTGCTATACATTTAAAGAAATGCCAGTTTATGAACAGCAGAGTAATAAGGCTGTTTGACTTCACGGAAGTTAGGAAAAATGGAAGTGAAATCATTTATACAGTGTCAAAGTCCAGGCTGAACAGCTATCTAAATTTTTTTTTTCCACTCCAGGGCAGGAACTTTGGTTTTCTAGTGACTCTATGGGAAGTTGTTAAAGGTTTACCCTCTCCTCCCTCACTAAAAAAAGAAACTTGGAGGAAACAGGTGTGATTTTAAAAAACAACTTACAAATTACATATGACAGGTAGTTTAAACATATTTAGTTTTATTGGTTTTGGCCATTCAAAGTGCATAGATTTCTGACATTTTATAATATATTTTGTACTTGTGTACTTTGTAACTTGCAATTCAACACTATTAATCTTTATAAAGCTGTCTTCCCAATCCAAGAGCTGTAAGAATCTGTTGAACAAACAAACCTTATCTTCACTGATTTATGTCAATGCCCACGGTTTATACATACAATGAAAACTCTCAAATTAATTCATTGTCATGAAGTTATATGAAAAGGTTTACTCTAGAAAAAAGGCTACAAATGTAAGTTGTCTGCATTTTAACATGAAGTCAAGGTTTAACTTGAATTATAATTAGATCTAATGCTATATCATAAGCACACAGCAGTTTAAACACAGAATGTTTACCCTGGCCTGGGGGAGGAGAGGAATCTTATATAGCACCTTCCTCACCCTGCGGTATAAACATTTACAAGGGTGGGGAAAATCATTCATCTCTACATAAGCTACATTCAGTTTATTTTAAAATGGCAGTATTATTGAGATCTAATCAATAAATATTTTCTATCTTTCTATAAAAATAAACATTATTAATTCATAAGAGTGCTATTTAGCTCCCATTTGAACAGAGACATTTATGATTTTCCTTCTATAATCGTGATAGCTCTGGATTTCCACAACCTGCCAAAACCAAAAAAGAATGTCAAACATTTCTTGGAGTATGGTTTGGAGGGGAGAAGGGCTCAAAACTTGATAGCTTAATATAAAAATCTAATCTTTTCTAATACATGGGTGGGAATGACACTTGAAACAGTGCAATAGTTCCCCGCCCCATTAACCCCTGCAGCGTCGGCCAGCAGTGCCCTTCCCCCCCTGGCCACGGGGCCCTGCACGGCCAGGCTCGGCCCGCCCCGGGCAGCCCCGGGCTGCATGCCAGCAGCGGTAGCCAGGCTGTGCCAGGCGGGGCACGTGCATCCTGCCACCACCAGCTCCACGTGCCCTCCTCCACGTGCCGGCGTGGGGGCGGGGCCACGCATGCACCCTCCCCGAACCCGGGGTGCAATTAAACTGTCTGCCCAGGGTGCCGGAATGGCTCAGTCCAGCCCTGACTGCGGGGTCCATCAATAACCACTAATAATGGAAGGAGGCTGCTAAAGGTAACCTATTAAGTTTATCCGAATTTTTTTTTTTTCTCAACAGCATTGTTCAACAGGAAATACATGCATATCATATATTCATAGGACAATACTGATATTGCTTTTAGGAACAAGCTAATATAGCATATGTCTAAGAAATCTACAGATTGAAC